TGTGTGTGTTTGTGTGTGTGTATATATGTGTATATATATATTTATAACATTCCACACATTTTAGGTTTCTCTGGTTCTCATTTTTAATTGAAATTGTATATCCGCCTCTATAATTGGTAAATAACCTTTGGGATGTTTCTTTGAGAACTTGTGAATGAATGTCCTAGTAATAAATAATCCTTATTCAAAGGTTTTGGCATCAATTAAAGATTCTTTCCTGAATCAGCTATTACATTGATGATTTTCTAATTTTATCAGTTATTAGCTGCCACTCCTCAGGAAAGAATAACTTTACTACCACTACAGATTCAAAGATAGTTGTTTATCTAAAAATGCTATAGTATATTGCAGTCACTATTATTTTTGATGTTCACTAGTCTCAAACTTGGGCAGCTCCTTAAGTGGTTTCCTGTGTCTTTTTAAAACATGAATTCCAGCTCATGTTCCAGGCTCATGTTCTCCTTTGCCTGTTCCCTGGGGTCAGAAACCAACCATTTCACTCATAAGTCCTAGTTCCATTCAGTTAAAATTAGAATTTAGAAACCAAAATCTTGTATGCATATTGCTACAGAGGTGCAGTTGTGTCTAGGAGCACTGAGTAGCTAAAGGATGGAAATTGTTTGTTGTTAAAACAGTTAAATTCATACCCATCACTCAAAATCCCGTGCCACAGACTTCCTCAGCTGCCTCCACTCAATCTTGCTCTCCCTTACAATGAAAAACACCAGTATCCAAAAGCTCAATTATATTAATTCATTTTCTATTTTCTCAGCACATATAAAATAGTTTCTAAGTTGTAGCAATACTACCACCATTAGCAAGTTACTTACTAGTTCAACCAAGGTCATATAATCTGCGGGCACCTGTCGTGCCCAAAGATACTTGAAGGAACATAACCTGGGTGCGGTTATCTTACCAACTTATCCACATGTAGGCTATTTGTTAGTATTCATTCATTTCATTATTTGTGTAAGGCGCAAATGTAAAACTTGATAAAGGTATACCCAGTACATTTGCTTCTAGCTCATCTCTCAGGTGCTGTGTCATGCACGCACGTGCACGTATGCATTCCTATTCCTCCATTTTTACAAAGAGGAGGGCAATTAACCTCCACCTATTAAAGGGTATCGGAGTTTGTGGACATATGTTAACACCACTATTTGTCCTCTGATTATTTTCAATTTTCATATGCAAAATGCATTTACCTTCTCCCAAAAAGTTCCCAGCTCTTATATAATATCTGCTTAAACACCAGAATCTTTATCTAAATTAGATTCATATATGAATAAAGCACCCCAGTTAAATTTCTCAAGTACAGCTCATTGAAAAGTGTTCCTCTTAACCTGAAGACCCATGACACCCCATACACAGTGGGAGACAGGACAGATAACTGCTACCCACACTCCTCTTCAAAATGGAGAAAACAAGACCCAAACGAGCCAATCACAGTTCTGAAATCCAGCTGGGCACAGGGGACCATTCCTTGATCAGGACTTAGGTCTAGGAGAAGATTCATGGTTCTTGGCTCAACCCTCTGGGTTCTTGTGTTTGACTTTGAATCCTCCTTGCTTTCAGCTGAGTGGTTTTCTCACTCTGCTGTTTGTTTTCTCAGTTTGAGAAAATAGTGTTTCTTGAATTCTCTAAAATCATTGTCCTTTAAATATTGGCATTCCCTCATATTCTTGATGCTCCTCTCTCCTCCCCTCTTTTTATGCCACTCCCAGACAGTCACTTTGACTTCCTTGATTCACTGAAACTCATCCTTATTTGGATATTTCTGAAACACAGAACCCAAGTCCTTGATGCTGACTGTCTTCTATTTCCACAGGTACATCTCAAATTCATGCTTGCTCTAGCCCCACTGCCACGGCTTTAGGGCACACCCTTGCCATTTCTTGCCTGCATTGTTGAAAGCCTTTCCCTATTTGGATTTTCTGCCGTCAGCTTTATCCACACCCAGTTCATTCTTCACCCAGAAACCAGTGTCTTTACAAAGCACAGATCTTGTTAAATTACCCCCTACTTTCAAGTCCTATAATGAGTCTGCAGAGATTTCAGGATGAAACCCAAACTCCTTGGCATGACCACAAAGCCCTTCATGATCTGTCTTACACTTTTGTTTTCATATTGAGTCATTAGTTTCCTTTCATCCAGAATATGCCATGTTGTCACAAGACTTAGTATCAATAATTATGGCATTGCTACTGCCTAGAATGTCCTTTCTCTTTTGTTCTCCAGGGTAGTTAATTCTTACTCAAATAGTTTAAGTATTATTTGATAATCGTTAAACAACACTTCCTCATAAACAACCTTGTGATCCATTCACCTGTCTATTTCCCCATGGAAACTTGAGCACCTTTGGGGCTCAATAAAGGAAATTGCTAAGGATAATATTTGTCACCAAATTATTTTAATAATTCTTTACTATTTAGGTTCTTCAAGTCCATTTTTTATGTCATCTATTCGTGGAACAATAATTGAAAACACATCTTCATCTGGGACATTGACACAAATTCCGTTTTTTCCTAAATATGAAGTGGAACTTGATTCTCATAGAAAAGCCATCCCTTACCCTGGAAAGGAACATATTGAACGTGTTTTGGAAGAATATTCACATCAAGTCAAAGATTTGCAGAGAAGACTAAATGAAGTAAGTTACATTCTTTTCTCCCAGTGCTCAATAGCCTTTGGGGAAGATTGTGAGATACAATGCCTTGAAATAAAACCTAAACTTCCTGTGAGAAAAATGTAACAATGGATTTGTTGGTTAATTTTGTTAATTTAGCCTACTCTCCATTTTAGTATTAAAAATTAGACTGATGAAAAGTATACATACCAATTTTCCTTTTTTAATAATTAGTCATAATACTTTGGTGTTGTGGTGTCATTCCAATGAATAGTCGATTTATTACTCTCATGAAGATCGCTCATCTGGGCTCCACGCCATGGTTAGTATACCTACATACCTACTTGACATTCTATGTGAAATGTTTCTCAGGCTCTATAAATGCAATTCCAATTGCATACATGATCTTTTCTCCATCCTACTCTTCTTTCAGTGTCTCTTCTAACTATATTTGGTGCCATCTTTACACAATTACACAAAGCAAAAATCTTCCTGACACCTCTTCCTTTTTCCTGGCATCTGCTTTAACACCAACTCCATCCAGTGTTCCTCATATCTGGGCCTCAAGTCTGTTTTCATTTCTGCCATTACCATTCAAGGTTCAGACTAATGTATTCATCCATCCAGACTACTAGAGGAGAAGGTAAAGAGACTTCCCTTTAGTGACAATCTAACATCAACTGCAGAATCAAATAGTATCCTCTTACATTTCCTTTCTTGTGTATTTTTCTATTTTTCTGATATCTCCTAATTACTTTCTTTTCCTTATCTATTTACCTTTATCATATCCTTGTTGTTTTTTTTTTTAAAAAAAACATAACTACCACTTATGTTTTCTTTCAAGTCCCTCTAGCAACCAGGACTCTTCAGGAATCTTTTTGTTTGTTTAGGGTAGATGGATTTCTCCTTTGTTCTGTTATTAAGCTATTTTCCTGAGGCTCTTATAACTGCTTTCCTGACTGGAGCCATGATTTCCAGGATTCACTATTTTCTGCTCCCTTCCTGTTTCTTGATATACTATTTCATTTAGTGAAGCACATCTTTAGAAACTTCTTCAGAGTATATGGGATATACATTTTATGAATCTTTATATTCTGAGAATTATTTTAGCTGGGCAAATTTAAAGTCATTTTCTTCAATCCTTTGACAATATTGTGTTCTTGCATTTAACATTGCTCATGAGAAGAAAATATCTGTCCAGTTCTTTTTTCACTGTAGATTGTTTGGTCTTTAATTAATTGAGGTTCATCTTTGAAAGCTTTAGAGTGTTTATCTCTGAAATTCCACCATAATGTGCTTAGGTGTAGATTTTCATTATTTCATTCATTAGGCCAGGGAATCAGTCCCTTTTGGTCAAAGATTTGTACCTGATTTCAGCTTTGAGAAATCTAATTGTGTGTTCTCTTCAATAGTTTTTCTTTGTTTTCTCCTTTTTAAGCTCATATTAGCTGATATTATTGCTAAGGTTGAACCTGCAAATCTGTTGCCTTCTTTCTCAAGAATTTTGTCTACCTTTTCTAATTTGGGGGAATATTTCTTGGCTCCATCATTCCATTGCAACTTTTTAGTTTGCAACCATTATTTTTAGTTTCCAAACCTTTTATCTTCTCCCCATTCACTTCTTTGGTATAAATATGCTATTCTTTTTAGCTGCACTGTCTCAAATGCCTCTTCAAATACACTTTTGGAAACTGTTCTTTTATTGCTGCATTATCTTCATTTCTTTGGATCTTTTTTTCTGGGACTTTGCTAGTTTGTTTCATCTTAGTCTCTTTACTATTTCATAATGTCCTTTCATGTATCCAGTAGTTTTTATTTTATTGTTTATTCTGATAAACATCAAAAGAGCTGATGGCATGCTCTTTCTTCATGGGCAAAAGGTGATGACTTTGATTTGGGATGATTGGTAGGATATCAATCGTTATGCTAGATGTCAGGGTTCTTGAAGAATGTCCTGGTAGCAGCACACCTCAACTTGGGATGGTTGTCTACTGCCAAGTGTTTTAAGTGGGATGCAGGTGGGGGAACTGACTTTTCTATGTACAAAATTTCAACCAACTCTATTGTTTTCAGCACAAAATATGTTCCTATCTATAGCAGAGCTAGAAGTCAGTCTTGTTTTAGAAATGGATTTTTGGTTATGGAGAATGGATCAAAAGAAGCCAAACTTAAGGCAGTGAGACTAGTTAAGCTATTTCAGTAGTCTAGTTGAGAAGCGATTAATTAGATCCTGAACTAGGGTGAAGGGAGAAGTAGACATAAAAAGAATAATATAGTAATATATAATATATATTATATACTAATATAGTATTAATATAGTAAGTAAGTTTCAAAACTTAACTAGTTATAGGGAAATGTGCTCTTCTAAAGTAAAGATTAATTTGCATGGTTTTTCCCTTCCCCCAGAGCAATGAATTGCATGAGAAACAAAAGTTTTATTTAAGGCAGTCAATCATTGATTTGCAAACAAAACTTCAAGAAATGCAAATGGAAAGAGATGCCATGGCTGACATCAGGTTGGCATTTGTTACATGAAATTAGTTTATTCTTACACTCTTTTAGTATAATGTTCCTTGTGTGGATATGAGTTGTATCAATGTTATTTCTTCTCTTTCATTTACCTTACAGACGAAGGGAGAGTCAGTCCCAGGAGGATTTAAGAAATCAACTTCAAAATACAGTTCATGAGCTTGAAGTTGCCAAGTGCCTTAAGGAGGATATGCTGAAAGACAGCAATGCACAGATAGAGCAGTTAAGGAAGATGATGCTTAGTCATGAGGGGGTTCTTCAGGAAATCCGTTCTACCCTGGTGGACTTTGAAGAAGCCTCAGGCAAGAAAATATGTGAACACGAAAGCATGTCTACTATCCACTTCCGCAACATGGGCTCAGCTGTTAGCAAAATCCTAAGAGAATTAGACACAGAAATTTCTTATCTTAAAGGGAGGATATATCCAGTAAGTGGTGAGAACACTACTTCCATTTTACATGATGATTCATTGAGAGAATTATATTAGATGCATATATTTTTTTTAATTCTTAAAAGTAATCCAAGTTCTTATTTTTGTTCTCTAAAAATAATCGCGGTTACTTCCACAGTGGTCTCTCAAGTCTCTAAAGTTTCCAAGTTTTAGATTTACCAATTCCTAAACCAGTATCTCTTTTTTATAACCAGGTAGAGGATCAGCTTGAAGCACTAAAATCTGAATCACAGAACAAAATAGAACTACTTCTTCAACAGCATCAAGATAGGTAGGTTTCTCACTGAAACCAAACAATTCTACAGTCTCTCATTAGCAATTCCAAAATCTTAAAAAGTTCTGAGAAACAGATGTTCTTTTTCATAACTTTTTTGCAAACTCATGTTGAAATAAAAAGTATTCTGTTACTGTTGAGACAGTAAGGAAGGTCCTGAAGAGTATTCAGCCTCAGCTCCCAGCACAGTGAAGCTAAGAGGGGATTTACAACCAAGGAGTGGGATGAGGGCACCAGTTGGCGGAAAGTGACCAAGAGAGACATCAAGGAAGGGCGATTCTCACTCAACTGACCTCTCAAGAGTCTTACTGAGCTTGAGTGGGGAGGCCGAAGACAGGCGGGTGGGAAAGGGGTGGCTAGCTCCAGGCATTTGAAGAAGGCACAGAGGAGCCTGCCTCAAGTTTCATCAGGGAGAGAGCCTTCGGACTCATCACTCATTTGTTAGCAATATCTGACCTGAGGTAAATGTAGAACATTTTATACTTTGTGCGATTCTTTGAAAACCTATTACTGTGTTAGCAATATATTTATTTGCCTAGAGGGTACATCCTTCGATCAACTAGGGGTGGTATATATTATACCATGTTTATATGTTTATAATTTATTATCATTGTAAAAGTATTTTGGAAATCTACATTCTGAAATCTAACTGGCCCTCAGAGGATTTGGATAAAGGATTTGTGATAATTTTCATAAACAATAGCATATTCAAAACTAAAATACTAAATTTGAGAGTGTTGAAAAATCATTAAATTTTGAAATATATTCTAGGTTAAAATCTACCATCTCAAATAAACATGTCACATTCTTTTTATAGGATTGAGCAGTTAATAAATGAACATGAAATTGAAGTAACAGGACTTACTGAGAAAGCAAGTAGTGCTCGAAGCCAAGCCAACAGTATCCAAAGTCAACTAGAAATCATTCAGTATGTGTGTCCTTGTGGTGTCCTAATTTGATAATTATTTATCTTCATGGTAGAGATACTGCTTTAATGAATTTTCTGTTTTAATATCTTTTAAAATTTGCTTAATGATTACATGAAAATAAAAATTTAACATTCAAAAAATTACTTAACATAGAGATTATAACTATATATTATAATAATAAAAAGTATTATTGGAAGTATTTGGGCCTCTTCAGATTGGATATTTTACATGTTTTTTTTCAAACAAACATAACATATCATGTGTATGTTTTAGCCTGTGTATATATACATGTATATGTGTATGCTTTACATATATAATGTGTGTTCATATGTAGGTTATATTATATCCTGTTGAATATATGAGTATGTATATAAATATATTAAAATATACATACATATAGGACCCTCCCTGGTGGCTCAGCAGGTTAAAGCACTGCACTAAGAAGCTTAAAGCCACTGCCGCATGAGTTCGATTCCGGCCTGCCCCGGAGGAGACCACATGGCGTGGCAGACCTCTCCCGACCCGCCCACTGCTCCCCTCAGCAGTGTACTACGTCCATCTGCCTGTTCTGCTCCCCACTCTGTCTCTGGTGAATCCTCTCACCCTCCGCATCTCTGGCTTGTACCCCGTTCTGTATAAATAAATAAATCTTTAATATATATATATATATATATACATATACATATAAAAAATCTTATAATTTGAATTATGTTAAAATTTTTTGAATGGAAATTTTCAGTCATATACAAAGGCAAAGAGAAAACATATAATGAACTTCTATGTATATATCACCTAGCTTCAACAGTATACATTTTTGAACTGAAGATTTTAATAAGCAATTTTAGAAAATAAAAGACGATTAGCCTAATAATGTCATGTAAAAATAACTAGCAGAAGTATCCAAAAGCTAACGTATCCCTAGGTGTTACAATTATTCTTAGTTTGAGATTTGCTTCTATTACCCTTTTAAACTCTCCTTAGAGAACAAGCAAGAAACCAAAATTCAATGTATATGCGTCAACTCAGTGAACTGGAATCTACTGTTTCTCAGCTACGTTCTGAACTGAGGGAAGCCAAAAGGATGTATGAAGACAAAGTGAGTTCAGATTTTGCTGTCTGCTTCTAGAAGCTAGTATACACATAATCAGCTATATAGTATTTAATATTTGAAAAGGAGGAATCAAAGTAACCATTTCAAATTAAAAATATTTATAAGATGGGTGCCTAGTATCTACATGTTAAATGATAAACTTATTTAAATTGTTTATTCAAATTAATTCATTCTCAGAACAAAGATTTTTGTGTAGTGCATGTAATTTTCTTAAAAATAAACTAGGAATAAGGTCATTGTAATTCTTTTTACAAAACTTAGCCTTAGCTAATGCTTCTGTACCAGCTAATCTTCCCCATCTAATACTTTAGGGGTCCACATCTTTTCTTACTTTAAATTGTAAATTATAAATCATTGTGAGACTAGCAAATTGTGTTAACTTTAAAATTAGGCTCCATGAAAAATAATTAGGGAACTTAATCTTCATCTCTCATCACACACTTCCTCTTAAAACCAGGTGTTTATTAATACTTGATATTCTCTTGTTTGTTCTCTTACTTTCCATAGCTAAAAAGGACCATTTCATTCGCATAATCAACCATATTTCCAGAGCTTACTTAGGTTTTGTTAATTTCAAACGTTTATATTAATTTCAACATTGATAAAACAGAAACCCTATAAAACAAGTAAAGCGCTGCCATTCAGAGGGGTTTGAGGACCTTGTTCCTTGTGAGAAGGGTGACCCCAAAAGCCTCTTTGCCTGGAATGTTCCCAATTTCCACCTACTTTGTGACTCTCACATTTTTTTCTCCAAAGCGTCTCAGTTTCAAAGATAAATTCTCTCTATATATAATGAAAACTAGAGGACAACCTATAATTCTAACCACTGCTTGTCGCCAATTTTTCACACTTTGGATGATTGGGAAGAAATAGAATACAAAGAAACTGGCCAATTTCTGTTACAAAATAGCCCAATGACACAGCAACAAAAGAAAAAAAAAAGCTCCATATGGGAAAAATCATTAAATATTTGTATTTTCTTGTAGACATTTGCTCTCCTTTGAGCAACCCCCATTTAATTACCCCTGTCACCCTGGGCAGACCACAAGAGGAGACTGTTTCTCTTGAGTTTTTAGTTCAAGCATAGAACATGAAGATCTCAGCCTCCATTTCTTGTGGCACCACTCAAATAGGAGTGGAAAATGTTATGGGACTTTACTAAAACCTAAACAAGAAAGAGTAACAGGAAACTAATCCTGTTATGAGATTTGGATCCTCCATAGCAGTGACTTTCAGATGGCTTTGATTACTAGCCACAATAAGAAATAGTTTGCCTTATGATCTAATACACCTGTAATATGGAAGCAAGTTTCACAAAACAGTATTTACCCCGATTACATATGACGCTGGGTATTTTCTGTCTTCTTCAGTGCTGATTTGATGTTCACTGAAGTGGTTTTATGATTCACGTGTGGGTTGCAATTTGAATAACACTGCCCTATACAACCTCTGTGCTTCACTCCTACCCTGAGTTCTATGGCACCAACTCACTGCCACCTATGAAGTCTCAAGGAGCCTTAAACTGCTTACAAGAAACAAAAACCCATAGAGAAGTGTATTTTCTTGTCTGCTTCTCTGAGTTTTTCAAGTTTCTAGTTTCTTATCTCTGAACAAACTTCCCTCTCCCTCAGCCCAAGATAAAAAGCAGGACTGTCCACCCTGTTAGGGGCGAGTCAGAAGAGCTTAATCTCACTACTTACAGAATAATTTTAGTACAACATGGAGTAGAAGATGCTTTATCACTGAAGACCAGTGGCCCAAGGAACTGTGGCAGCCGCGATCAAGAGGAAAGCGAGAGGAAGCCAGAGGAAAGAGGAGCACCTTGCAGTCCAATGCAATGATGATGCTCTTTAATGATTTAAATCACAGACTAAGATTAAGTATTTATGCTTACTGACAACGGAAGGCCTTTGAAAAGCTATGAAACACTAAATAAAACTCACCTGTTTTTTTTCCTTAAGTAACTGGAAATTGCTGTAACTTTCCACTGTAATGTTGTTTAGAAAAATTATCCCTTCTCATTGTTTGCTTATTTGCATATAATAGGCCCATGCTGGTCAACTCTAAATTAGGACATGATGGTAAATTTAAACAAATGCTGATGTAACCATCTAAACATTAGCAAAATTATGTTTGCTTTCATCAACACGTATTTCTTTAGTGTTGTAGAAGCGTAAACATCCAGATGAATGGCTGCAAACCTTTTGTTGGACCATTTTGAGGTTGTATAGATACAAACATGATATTAGATTCATTGTCTTGATGTAAACAGTGGATCACCATGAATCTTGACTGCCTTAAAAGTCAACATATATATAAAGAGGCATATCAGTTCAATTTTAATCCAAATTGCTAATTTATAAAACAGCATCTGAAACCTAATATTTAAATAGGCTCTCTTAATGGGAACTCCTTTAGTCAGGGAACACTGGGATTATTCTACCATGTCAACATAGATTTGAATATACTCTGTCCTGAAGTGGCCTTAATAATTGGTGAAACTAAGCAAGGAAGATCAAGCACGTTAACTAACATTAACTATTGTCTTTTGGCATCCTGAATTATTCTATTGTTATGTTTTTGTTGTAACAAATTGAATGTAGAATCTAAATACTAATTTTTCTGCTTTAGTGTTGTTTCATGTACTTTTACTTTTATATTGCTAAAACCTTATGTAAAACTTTAAAATCTATTTTAGTTTCCATGGCTTCAGTACAAATTTTAGCATAGTCTGTCCAAATAGCAGTAAGGAAAACCTCAAGGTAACACATAAAAGTTGTGATTAAAACTGAAATTTGTGTGAAAAGAAACTTAGAAGGATGTGTTGACATTACACATGACTACATTTTTAGAGGCAGGGTTAGTATTTTCTTCTGAGGTCAGATACCTTCAGAGCAAAGGTTTTATTATTTTTAAAATAAACAAAACGTTTCCAACTACAATGTTCAAACTAAGAGAAAGCTTGTTTAGGAAGACAGTATTTCTCTTTAAATAAGCAGTATTTCTATATTCATGGAAACAAACTGATGATTTTGGAAGTAGCTGTTGTAGGCTACAAAAGTGTTTTACTATAATGCTTTTTTTTAATTCTTCTGTTTCCATTTTAGGAGAACCTCCAGAATTCCCCTTTACGAATTTGGACCTGTAGAAGCTGTCACTATTGGCTCTGTAGATTTGGCTTTACTCTTAACTTTCGCTTTTTGACAACAAAAATCTCATGATCTGGATGCTAAGTTTATTTTCGTTCTTTGAAAAGTATTGGGGGCTGAATGTCATTCTCAAAAGAGTGGAGATTGAGTAGCACTGGCTGGAGCTATAAATTGTGCAGGAAGATTCTGTGCAAATACCTTTGCATAGTTCTGCCAATGCACCTCCATGTGACCTGCAGCATCCCTATCCCTCGCTATCCCATGTCTGTGCCTTTTTGAGCACGGAAAGCAGGATATAACATAACAATTTGGTGCAATTGGTAATATCTCTAAAGTCACTGTAAGATTAGAATGGGATCCCAGCACTTATCTGTCCAATGATTCAAAATGAAAAGTAGATTCACAGATGGTGAAAGGGAAAACCAGTGCTGCTATTCAAAAAGAAAAGAAAAAGAAAAAACCTTTAATATATCTCAGATGTCAGTATTTATTCTGGACATTTTCAAAGGCTTTTCTTTATAGCATTTTTTTACAGCTGTTTGTATCAGCTCAGCTGCTACCGCAATGGTTTTCCCTTTCACACTCCATTTATCTTTTTGACTGATTGATTAATACAAATATTTTTTACTCTAAAAAGTGAAAGGTAAAAGCAGAGCTATAGCAGTTGAGTCAGTACTGACAACTACAAAACAAATGTTCCTTCAGGGGTCTGGAGAAACGCCTGTTACTTAGTAAACTAAGAAAGCTAAGACTTGGTTCTTTTCTTTTTCTTTTTTTCCCTCCCTTTGAAGATTTGGTCTCAAGATTTTACCATCAAGTTTGATGTTATCAATTATCAACTAATTTTTTTAAATGAAAACAAAATAGCAACTCTTAATTTGGACTTTTAAAAGCATATACATGAATATCGTGATAGAAATGGTTTTGTGCTAGGGTAGGAGTAGAAAATGTTTTAGTGGCAAGAATTATTACTTGAAATGTTTTTGTAAGGATATAGCTTAAAATATGGCTTCTTTAACTATATTTTGTTTCTAAAAACAGGTAGAAAATAGTGCTTCAGTTTTATTTAATACTGATCTCATGTAAAAGAGTATTAGAAACAGAATCGAAAGCAATGCAAAAGATTATCTAGCATACTCTTTCAAGATATAGATGGGGGTAAATTGAGAAACGAAGAGGTTATATGACAGAAACTGAAGTGTCTGACTCTGGGCATGATCTATTGCCTGTCTGGCCATGCCTACCTATTCCTTTGCCAAATGTAAATAATAATTGTATAGCAGTAAATGTTTGTGGGATTCCTAGTGTCTTTACCAAGTGTGTGCTAACTTAGTCTTTCTCAATAAAATAATAAGTGAAAAGATTCTGTCAACTGATATTATTCATTCATCTTTCTTAGAAAGCTATTTGACAGAGTTTGGATTTTGGTGGGACATTGTTCTATAAATGCTTCCAAAGAAGCACACAAGTGAACTTGTTTCTTTATAAGAGTCTATGAATATATTTCTATCAGTTACTAATATTTCATATACATTTAATTTCTGTGAAATTACTTTGTATCTACATATATACACACATATAAAAATAGTTAAATACAAAGCAGTTCCATTGAAAATTGAACTTTGTATTTAACTGTATGTATATCTTTTTATCTGTATATATATAGATACACATATGAAAACATTTAAAACAAAGTCAGTTTTAAGGTACATTCAGTTTTCAATACTAAGATTTATATTTTGACCTGTGAAGGTTGTTACTATTACTCTATAGGTAAATGTGAAATTGATAATCCTGTTTAAGTACTTTTATAAGTCTTATATGTATATATGTATAATACTTAAGTATATTATACATATATTTATATTCTACACATATATAAACTTCTATGTAGTCATATTAATTCATATACCAGAGGCCTAGTTGCATGTCTATATGTATATTGTTAAGCATGCGATGAATTAATAATGAAGATCTTAAACCTCATCTGGGCAAAAATAAAGTCACCAAGAAAAAGTCCTATTCATTGTTCTCTAGGAACATATAATCAAAACCACTCAAATTTTATTCTTAACATAGACTTGTTGAATAGGCTTAGAAGCATTTGAAGAAGGAATATGTAGCCATTTATGCTGACATGAAACATTTCTTATTACTAGAAACTAAGTGATAAAGTAGTATTATGTATTATATATACCACAATTAAGAATCAGATACTACTACTACATAACATTCAGTGTCAACATGTTATCATTGTCATTATTTTAATATTTCAGTATCTAAATTCAGAATTTGCATAGCTCAGCTAAAATCCAAACTTGAAGTCTCAATCATCTGAGATCCTAACATCACAGCTGACAGTGCACATCACTCCTGAGAACGGAAGTGCTATTGACAGTGATGGGCCTTGTGGCAGAGGACATAGAATATATATTCTCACAGGCCAAACAGTTACCTTTCTGTGAACGGAAATTATCCTTATAATATTTTTGATATTGCTGCTCTTTCTATTTTATACTAGAAGATAAAGATTGAAATATATGTGTAAAATATATTTAAGACATATATAAATTTACTCATCCTTTCCAAATATAGTGAACTATATAATAAAACTAAAATTTTAAATTACTGTTATTCATTATTCATTATTTTACATCAATGTCTTTTACTATTGTAACTCTGATACTCTGAAATAAATTAGCTCTTCTAAATATAACACAGTTCATTGTGTGGTCTCTGCAGGATATTTTTTTATGCCACATCAAGTTTCTGTAAATACCAAAGTAAAGAATGTCTATTCTTTATATAATAAATTTTGAACAATGTGAAAGTGAGATGTATTTAGACAACACTCAAATTTAACAGTACCAAATATTTCATTTTGGAAAATTTCCCTGGCTAACTTCCACAGACATCTTAAGTTTAAAAAACTTTGCGAAATACATCACAACAAATTTTATCTTTGCCCTCAAAATAATGGTCACTTGTTTTCCTGAGACGACACTTCTCTCCTATTACCCACTGGTATAGTCAGACTGTTTGTGCTATCTTTTAGATAGAAGATCTGGAGAAGCAGCTAGTCCTTGCCAATTCAGAACTAACTGAAGCTCGCACGGAACGTGATCAGTTTAGTCAGGAGTCTGGAAATTTGGACGATCAACTTCAAAAGCTCTTGGTAAGATTATGTTAAAAAATCTGAATGACACAAATTCTGGGAAGCTTTTCACCAAAATATTTCATAAATTAGTTTCACAATCACAAGTAGGTAATTCTATTTGCATCCTAGGACTACACAGTAATTTTGCCATTTCTGAAGCAGCAAACCAAAGTGTTACTGTTATTCCTTCAAGATTTTGACCTTTTTTTAATGACAGGGTACATTCAATGTGAAGCATAATGCCTTTGTTAGAAAATTCAAGACTTAAAAGCAGAATGACTTTAAAATTTTTTAAATAGCATTTTCCTTTTAATTATATATTACTTGGGATCTAGTTCAAAGATTTTCTCATAATGCTAGAAGTTACAGGCAAGCAAAATGGGAGCTTGTTTTCTGTGACTATTTTTTTTTAAAGATTTATTTATTTATACAGAACTGGGGTACAGACCAGAGATGCAAAGGGTGAGAGGATTCACCAGGAACAGAGTGGGGAGCAGAACAGGCAGATTGACGAAGTACACTGCTGAGGGGAACAGGGGGCGGGTCAGGAGAGGTCTGCCTTGCCATGTGGTCACCTCTGGGGCAGGCGGGGATCGAACTCATGCGGAGGTGGCCTTAAGCTTCTTAGTGCAGTGCTTTAACCTGCTGCACCACCAGGGAGGGCCTCTGTGACTATTCTTAATCAAGCTGTTCAAAAGGGATCAGACTCCAAAATCAAAGGCTTCTCAAGCCACGCTCAAAACTCCATGGCTGATAGATGGTTTTGTTTTTCTTATTTAATACCGGGATGGAACGCCTGTCTCCCTTCTCATAGGCTGATCTGCATAAAAGAGACAAGGAGCTGAGTTTGGAGAAGGAACAGAATAAGCGTCTGTGGGACCGAGACACAGGCAACAGCATCACCATCGACCACCTGCGGCGGGAGCTGGATGACAGAAACATGGAGGTGCAACGCCTGGAAGCTCTGCTCAAGGCCATGAAGAGCGAGTGTCAGGGCCAGATGGAACGACAGGTGGGTGGCCAGGGACACTCCTCCAAGAGGGCTGGCTTTTCCCCTACTGGGGCAAACATAACTCTAGGGCTGACATGACTCTAAAGTAGAGCTGCGGAGCCCACAAGCCAGTCATAAAAACTTGTTATTTCTATTTCGATCAATTCAATTTAAAATGTTCAGATTTACCTCATTTTCATACTTTTAAGCAATGAAATCCCCAGCTGATCGCCTTTTCATTTTCATATAAAAAATGAGTACCCTAATGATTGCTTATTTCAGTAAAGCCTCAAACCACAGGAAGGGCTGGGAAAAAGCAAGATTGAAGGGTTCCAGCAGATGTTTTTTGGTTTTGCTTTTGTTTTTGCCTCCCCCAGCCCCAAAAGAGACTTCCTTTCCTTTAACTGAGAACCCACCCCAGATGGGTCCACTCCACTTCAGTGCTCCAGCAGGCACATCTGCAGCGCTTTAACAGCTCACTGTGCCTTCAGGATTGGGGGAATGTAGTTGTAACGTCAGTTTCTGCCAAAAAGATATAAAAAGCACCCCCCAAAAGAATAAACTTCCTAAAAATGGGAAAGTCAACCAAAGGGATCCGTCTTGGCATAGGGCCAGGCAAAGCCCACTTTTGTTTTTTAATCTTCTGGCCCAACTTGGGTGAGAAGAAAGACGAAAGCAGTTAGAATCTTCTCTTTCCAAATGAGAGCCAGAGAATGTGAGTGAAGGTTGAATAAAAGCCATGTTCCACTTTTTCCTCCCGGGTAAAATAAAGGAGCAAGTTGGAGAGAAACAGAATGTAAAGGAAAAAGAGGTAGTGTAAGGGCAATTATATTCACACTTAGCACTCTTCCCCTATTGCTAATATTCTCTTCATTTTTTGTTGATCCAGAAAATGTCCTCAGAGGAAACATCCTAAACTCGCCACCTTAGAAAACCATTCTGGAAGCATATTATTGTTTAAGGCCTCTCCACCTTGATCTTATTAATATGTCAGCCTGGTACATGCTGTTGATGATATGGAGTTGTGAGTGACTTGAGGCTAAGCAGATATTATTCAATTCCTGATTTCATTGTTTAAAACTAACTCATTATCGTTCTTAAATTTGCCTATATACTAACTTCCCAAATCAGTGAAATTCTCTTTTCTTTAAAAATCAGATGGCAGCAATTCAGGGCAAGAATGAAAGCCTAGAAAAAGTGTCCTCCCTGACAGCTCAGCTTGAATCCACCAAAGAAATGCTCCGTAAAGTGGTGGAAGAGTTGACAGCCAAGAAGATGACCCTGGAGAGCTCAGAGAGGACAGTTTCAGACCTGACAGTTTCCCTCCAGGAAAAAGAGAGAGCCATCGAAGCCACCAATGCCGAGATCACCAAGCTCCGCTCCCGGGTCGACTTGAAATTGCAGGAGTTGCAGCACTTGAAAAATGAAGGGGATCATCTCAGAAACGTGCAGACGGAATGTGAGGCCCTTAAGCTACAGATGGCAGAAAAGGACAAGGTGATCGAGATTTTGCGACAACAGATTGAAAATATGACGCAGTTGGTTGGCCAGCATGGACGAACTGCCGGTGCTATGCAAGTAGAAAAGGCTCAGCTGGAGAAAGAGATTAATGACAGGAGGCTGGAGCTACAGGAATTTAAGGTCTGTAGGTTCCCTGGTGGCTTTGTTTCTGTAAAGAGGGTCTGTGGACTCTGAAATGGAAAGTATATGTGACTATGTGCATTTGTGAGAAAAGACCAGAGAGCGTTTAGGTTCAAAAGGACTGATGGCCCCAAAATGGTTCAGAACTATCTGGTAAAAGAGAAAAATGTAATCTAGCTTCCTCATGAAAACTTTACTGATCCCATAGTTTGAGGCAGACCTAAATCTGAGCCCCGCCTTTCATCACTCAAGAACTGTGAAGCATTGTGCTGTTCACAGGAGCTTGGCTATCATGTCCATAAAAACAAAACAAACAAACAAAAGTCCCCAAGAACTCTAGTAGATTACTGGAGGCTTAAATGAGAAAATATTTTGTCAAGGACTTAGCCTAACTCCTGGCCTGTAGATGTTGTTTAATAAATATTAATTCCCTTCCCATTCAATTGTCCATGAAATCTTATTACGCTGTATTTGTAGCTATCAGGACCTGGATCACTTTTTATTGCAGTCTGTGTGTGCCAAACAGTAGTGTTTCCTTCCTTCTGTAAAGCTACAAACTTCAAGCAGGGTATTCACCTTTTTCATCTTGGCGGCCCTATTCCTTGACTTTGTATCTTGCCATTTGGAGGGTACTCGATAAATAGGTATCAGAATTGAAAGCAAAATACTGACTTTTAAAAAAATGTTATATTATTCTTGTCACCTGGATTGCTGACCTGAGACAAATCTCAACTTTAAATGCCTTCATTTCCTCATTCTAAATTTAGACCTGATGACATCATTACCTACCTAATGGAAATACACACGCTCAGTGCTTATGGAACAGAATGTTCTAGTGATTAAGGTTTTACTTTATTGTATAATATTTTTTCAAACTCACCATATAAGGTTAGTGAGGTTTTCTCAGTGGTCACCCCTTTCGATGAAAACTTCAGAATAGGTTTCCAGAACATTTTGGAGGAGAGGTGATTGCTCTACCTTCTCATTAAAGAGATGGGTTTCTAGTATTGTGAATAGTTTCTAGGATTAAGACTACAAACAGGGCCCTCCCTGGTGGCACAGTCAGTTAAGGCATAGCACTCTGAAGCTCTCCAAAGCCGCTGTAGCATGAGTTCGATCCCTGGCCAGGGAGGTGACC